ATCTCACAGTTCTAAAAGCTTAAAATCCCAAATCCAGGTATCTGTAGGGCCATGCTCTCTTTGATGACTCTAGGAGATGATCCTTCCTTGTATCTTCTAGCTTCTGGTGTTTTCCAGCAGTCCTTGGTGTTTCTTTTCTTGTAGATAGCTCAGTACAGTCACATGGCCATTTTCTCCCTATGTACCTTCACTTGGTCTTCCCTCTGTGCATTTTGTCTCTGTGTCCAAACTCCCCCTCTTTATAAGGATGCCAGTCATATTGAATTAGGGCCAATCATAATGACTTGATTACCCCTCTAAAGCCCTATGTCCAAATAGGTTGCATTCTGAGGTACAGGGAGTTAGGACTTCAATGTATCTTTGGGGGGGGACACAATCAACCTATAACACTTGCATTGTTATGAACATAATATAATGTTAAATAACAAAAATAATAATATTTGCAGAGTCTGACTGAGAAAATTCAGCAGCACTAAAGAAGGTGACAGGGTCCTTAAGTCATTTCCAGCTGTCTTACACCTTCACAACTTGGGGTGTCTGCTCACAAATATAGCTTAGTCCAGCTCATCCCAAGCTAACTGTAGGAGGGGATGGAGGGGATAGGTCTGGATCTCTTTCTGGCAGAACTTTTCCTCAAGGTTCCTAATAAAATATCTGGACATTCATTCTGACCCTCTGAGAATTCACTTCAAGGCCCTCCAGGTCCACCAGCCACAGTACCCTACAAATGAGCTAGCACCAGTGGAGTAGAGCAGTCCACACTGCAACTCTTCTATGACTCCTCTGATGAGGCATCACTCCTAGCCCGTGCTGGGGCAGTGGGAGACACTATGTCCCACAGATCCATTAAGCCTTTGGCATATGAGTGTTGGGAAAATTAGTTTCAAACAGAGATAAATATCAGAGCCTAGAGCAGTGGTTTTCAATGTGAATCACCTGTAGAGTTCTGAAAAAGATCTTGGTTGCTGGTCTTCACCCCCATGCTTGTAACTGGGTTGGGTTACTGTGCCATCAGAGCCTGAGTATTTTAAAGCTCCCCACATCTTACTAATTTGCAGCCAAAGGTGAGAACAGCTGATCTAGCAGTGTTCCTCAGACATTAATATATCTAGGAATCACCTAGGGATCTTGTTAAAACACAGATCTGATTCCACGGGTCTGGGATGGGGCTTGAGTTTCTGCATTTCTCCCAGGGGATGCCATTGCTGTTGACCCACTGACCACACTTTGAATAGCCAGGATCTAGAGAGCTGGTTCTCAAACTTGGCTGCACAATGGGGTATCCAGCAGAGGTATACAAACTACTGACACTTGGGTTTCACCTCCAATGATTCTGATTTGGTCAGGGGTACTGTGTGAGCTTCAGGGTTTTTAAAAGCTTCCTATGTCATTCTAAAGTGCAGCCCAGTATGGGAACCACTGTAATTGAAAAAAACAGTCTTCAGCTGTTTCTGGCAATCCAACAGTGTGAGTAGGTGGGCTACATTGGGCATCACCTTCAACAGCAGGATCAGCAAACAGATACACCTCCCCTCCAAAGCTATGAACACAAGTGTACCCATGCTGGGCAAGGGAAGGTCAAACCAGTGAGTACCAAGAAAGGTGCCTAGATAATCCTGATGTTCTACTTTTAGGTTTCTACCCAATATTCATTCCCTTACCATTGCTATATGCTCATTAATACACTGACAACTGTCCTAGTGATCTCAAGCATTCTCCCTGAGTCATGCTTAGGGTCCATTACTAATTGCCTTTCTCTTCCATGTCCCCGCTTCCCCCATAGAGAGAAGGCTGGCTGGACCTATGGGCTCTCTGCAGGGAAGAAAGACTGGCTAAGTTCCCAGGGAGAGTGGCACCTAATGGACCAGTTCACTTGTTAGGCACATAGAAGGGTGTCAAAGTGTGAGAGGTAAAACTAGTGAGAAAGGAGGAAAGAGAATAGTTTAAAGTGATTTTATTACACTGTGTTCACCAGTGGGGTGAGTGAGGGGAATATTAGTCTCCAGGGGAAATCTTTAATAGAATTGATAAGGATCACAAATGCATTCATGGCAAATGCAAAGTGCTCCTAAGCCTTACTTCAAGGCTTGTGCAGCATAAAAACAAAGGTTGTACAAGGAACCAGGAATTTGTGCATAACATATTTTTTAAAGTTCTTATTCATTTATTTATTTGAGACAGTGCGAGTTGGGGGAGGGGCAGAGGGAGAGGGAGAGAGAGAATCTCAAGCAGACTCTGCGTGGAGTGCGGAGCCTGATGGGGGGCCTGATCCCAAGACCCTGAGATCATGCCCTGAGCCCAAATCAAGAGTCAGATGTTTAATTGACCAAGCCACCCAGGTGCCCCTGTGCAAAACAAATTTTTAAGGACAGGTGATGGGGTATCAACAGGCAGAAGTGAGAAAGCAGACAAGGCTGGTTCTGGGGGATGGTGTTAAAAGAGATTAATTAAATCTCCTTTATCGTGGTCAGCCAAGGGCTTCTTTAGTCCACCTGAGAGCTGAAACAAGCTTTTGTAACAGCAGTCAGGACTGCTGGAACAGACCTGACCCCCAGTAATGAAGGCTGAATACTCCCCACCACCAGCAGCACCACCAGGATGGCATGACCATATATCCAGTCCTAATTTACACATGTTGTCCCAACATCTGGTGCAGTTTGGCATTTTAGCACTCTCATTGTGTTTGGGTTTGGACAAGAAGTAGTCACCCGTCAAATGGTAGACTATATGTTACAGGCCAAATTGTGTCCCCCTAAAATTCATGTGTTGAAGCCTCTGCTTGAGTCATGTCTACTAACATCCCATTAGCCAAATCAGACCACAAGATCAAGCTCAAAGTCAAGGATGATTAAATATACTCCACCAACCACAGCCATGGTAATGGTGTGAATATACAATAGTATTTAAAGGGGAGTGAAAAATTACATTAATTATTTGATCTATCACACTTAAGTTCTATCAGTGTATTTTTAGAGGTTGACTGGCCATGGACTTAGTCTTAATAAGTGAACTTCAGACTAGGGACTTACCATTAAGCATATCTAGAATAACTGTCTAGACAACATACTATGAAGTAGTCACTTCCCATTGCTGAGCCTTAGTTTCCATAAAAAAAAATAAATCTTCTAACTAGATTGGCAATTATAGCAACCACTTGGCCCAGAAAATGTTTTGTTTATTTGTTTAATTAGTTGCAAATATTTCAAAGGATTTCACATTAAAATCCAGTTTCTCTCAATAAACTGGAGACTCTGACAACAATGTGCATCAAGACAACAATCACCAGGACTAGAGTTGCATTTCCCCCTTTAGATGTCTGCCCTTTCCTAATGCCACAGTCCACAAGGCAACTTCTGTCAGTTAGGCTATGTGCTTACCTTCTAATTGAGCTTGGAACCCCAATCTAGAGTGTCCAGCTACAACATTCTGAGATTCTAAATTGAGACAGGTTATACTCCCAATACATGCTCTTCAAACAGTCTCTGTGTTTGGCAGTGTTTAAGTTTGGGGTGAAGTTCTTACTACAATTTTAGCCTTGCACATAAAAATCTATTCTTAACACCCTTTATTCAGTCAGAAGGAAATGCTTTCTGAGTCACCAGTGCTCCAGGTTTCTGTGCAGGGATGTTCTCTTAAGGGTTGAAAGCTGTGTGGCACTAATGGCATCCTGTTTGGGGACTAGTTGGGAGCTTATCCTGAATAGAAACACAGCTTTTCTTCCCACACAGCTTCCTCCATCCATTGGTTGTTTCAAAAGAATCATATCCAACCAGCTGCCCTACCACTGGAAACAGCTTGTCTTCAGGACCAGCTACATTGATGAGTGGGCTTTTGGGCATGCTCTGCTCCCCCACACTTTATCACAATGAGCAAAGCTCTATGAGGGGTGTCTCTCACAAGAGAACCTCAAAGAAAAGTTGTCAGAAGCTGGAAATAAAACAATATACAAGAACTCTGTGGCAAAAGTTGAGAGATTGAAAGATAAGTGATTTTGTTATGGTTGTTTATTGGTTTGGCTGGGCAGCTGCCCTAGAAGACTGAAAGGAGCAAATGAAGAGAGTCCCAGGAGCAATACATGAAAGAGAGCATGAGAACTGTAGAAAGTGAGAAACCTAGGAAAGCCAGAAGTACCATGAAAAATAGCTAAAGAAAGAGATTCTATCCATCTTCCCTGCTTTGACCCATTTGAACACTGAAAAGTATCCTTAGGTGAGGGCACCCTTACTGGGGCTTGAAATAACATTTGCAAAGTCTTTTGTAGTTAAATACATTCATACATTTTTATCTCATTTAACCTTTTTAAAATGTCTGATCTTATTTTTTTTTTTTTGTTACTCCTAGAAAATCCTATTTTTGGCTGGACTCAGACTTAGATATAAAAGCTCTCAAAAAGGACAGTTATGTCTCTTGGCAATCTCTTCCTGGTATTTTTCTTTGGCCTCCCTCATTCTCTTGTCCAAAAATTTATCAAATTCTGCAGCCCTGCCCTTATTTTTCTTAGTATACCATTTCTTCAGAGCAATTTACTGACGTTTGTGTTGTAGGACAAGTGGAGTAACAAAACACTGAATCTTGAACAGCTTAGCCCTGGGTTTCTTACCTTCTTTGTGCAGGGGCTTTCTTATAACACACCAGTGGGCATCATCCTCTTTAGAGAGATTGAAAATTTGCAAATTCTGCTAGTTCTTTTGGGACCCCAGTGACAAGGCACAGTATATCATAGTATCAGTCAGTGCAGGGATAGAAACGTTTTTGTTTTTTTTAAACAATAACCAAGCTGAGAACACTCAGATTGGTATCTACAATGAAACCTTGGACAGATTTGTGCTTCCTTTCTCCAGTTCTCCTTGGTCTACAATAGGAATGCCCCTACTCGGTGATAAGCAGTCGTAGCTATGGTCAAGACAGCCTACTTCATGGGGAAACCTTGTTTGCTGATCTGGACCATATATTCTTTCCACTCTTCACTAGAGCATCAGCAGCAACTTCTGTGTCCATACCTTTCTCATAAAGATATGAAGTTTCCATTCATCATCCACTTCAATGAGTTTCCGGCAGCTGGTGACTGGGAAGAAGATTTTCAACTTCACCCTGAAACAGCTGATCATCTCCAAGATGCCCTGAAAAGGAGATGGTCCCATTTCATTTTTACTACAGTCCTTTACTGTACATCATTATCTCTCTTTATACATGAGAAACAGAAGCAGACAGAGAGATTTTTCTCAAAATTGTTCATTCCATAAATGGTAGAAACAAGATTAGAAACTCTTTCTCTGCTGCCCCAGACCATGCTCCTTCCACTGCATGAACCTGCCATCTTTCGACAAATGGGTGGGGATGGAACCAAGCCTAAAACTGTTAAAACACTTGCCAAAATTCACACAGCTACTAAATAGCAAAGCCAGGATTTGAAGCCAGTCTTTCTGACTCCAGGCCCTAAATTCTTAAGCACTTTGATGACTAGGATTTCTAAATCTTTCCACATAGGTAGATATCAATCTGGAGCTTAAATATATCCTGGGGAGGGAATTATATACATTTATAACTATTGAGAGAAAATAAAGGAAGAATTATTAATATTCCTAATTAAAATGAATCCTCCTGGCATACACAGCCACTAAGTAAGCAGGTATAGTTTAAGGAAAGAGCCAGGAGCCTCTGTGTGTACTCCAACACTCTGTGTGTGTGTGTGTTGTATGTGGTATTGTGTGTGTGTGTGTGGATGTGGATGTAGGAAGGGAGCTGAGGTGCTCTGATGGAAACAGGGGTGCTGAGGTCAGGAGACACACCTGGGTCTGATACCTGATGGACAAACACAGGCAGGTCAGATTAGTGCAGTAGAAAGGAAGGTCCAAGGTCCATTAAGATCAGAAACCAAGAACTAGGGTATAAATTTATGATCATAACCAAAGTTGGAGAGAATGCTCTACGTACTATTTTGTAAACATTTTGTTTTCTACTTTGTGGATGAAGAAACTGAGGTTGAGAAAATGTAGACACGTTGCCCAGTGCCAGAGTCAGAACGTGGCAGAACAAAGATTCAAACCGCAAATGTCTGGGTCCTCAAGTAGCAAGATGAAGGCAAGGCACTTCCCTGTGCAGGAGGGTTCAGATGAATCTAGGCTATTAGGAAATTTACCAAGGCTCAGTGAAGGCAGAGGGCCAATTTCCCTTAGCATGGCCTTCAAAAGGAAATACATCCAGCATCCTACAGTCACATTCTGGGAGAGGAGAGAGCACTTGTTTTTAAATGAAGCCACTTAAATTTCAGGATAAGAAGACACAGAGAACTAAACAGTAGATTAAAAGCTTTACTATCTTGGGGGGGAATGTTCAAACTATTCAGGCAAAAAAAAAAAAAGAAGGAAAGAAGGGAAGGTGTGGCGGAAGAAAAGGAGCAAGCAACAGTGAAAGGGAGGAAGAAAGGGGTAAAATGAAGGAAAAAAGGAAAAGATGGACAGAGAAAAGAAAGGAAGGAGGGAGAAGGGAATGAAAGAAAAAGAGTGAAATGTTAAAGGACATGGGGCCACCATATATTAGAGCCCTGAGCAGTGAATCTATAGACAGCTGTCACTGAAGGTTATTTTCAGATACTGAAATTAAATATACCCTTATCTTTTGTGCCCCTGTAGATCATGAGTTCTGGAGATCATGGTCTACAATACATACACAATTTTGATAATTCTCCAAGGACTTAGAACAATACTGTGCATACAGTGGGTGTTGAATAAATAAAAGGTTGACATTGATTGATAGTCTCTTCCCTAAAGGAAATTTATCTCCAATTCAAATCTCCAGCATAACACTGAGCAAGGTTAATCTTCATATCCCCACAGATGGAGACTAATGGGATAGGCCTAAGTAGGCAGAAGTGCATCAGGAAACCAAATTGGGAAATGATAGCTATTGTCACCCAGGGAATTGCCAAAAATGGATGTCACTCATGACCCCCAGCTCTAATGTCTGAACACTTTTTTCCCTGCAGATACAAACAGACTGGTGAAAGAATCCTGACCAAAATGAAAAATGCATATAAACAAAGTTTTAACAAATTATTGAAAACTGACTTTAGGGGCACCTGGGTGGCTCAGTTGGTTAAGCATCTGCCTTTGGCTCAGGTCATGATCCCAGGGTCCTGGGATCCAGCCCCACATCGGCAGGCTCCCTCTGCTTCTCCCTCTCCCTCTGCCTGCCCCTCCCCCTGCTTCTGCTCTCTCTCTCTCTGTCAAATAAATAAATAAAATCTTAAAAAGAAAAGAAAACTGACTTTAGCAAGTTTGTCACAAACAACTCTTAGTTATGAAAAATCTTAGTTTCTGAAAGATGGCAGCTGCCAAAATGCTAAAGGAAGGTGACGGGCACTTCCTCCTCGCCATCCTCAGACCAAATCTCAGTCAAAACACTGCCATACGCGCACACAAGTATTGAACAAATGCACATCAGCAAAGTGGTTCAGGTCCTCTGTAAACAAACATCCATTAGCAGGCTGACTCTAAGCTCATACAACCTGCTCTGTAAACTTGAAGAAGCCCTAACTCTTTGTCCTTTCAGGGACTCCTGAACACTTTAGCCAGTCCGCGCATCTTAATTATCATTCATTTCACCAATGAGAGCCCATTTCTAATACCCAGTATGCTGACTAGAAGTTGCCAGTTTCTCCAAAAAGCATTTATTTCTAATATTCATTATGCCAGTTAACAAATAAGGACATAGTATCCCTATGCCCCATGCCTTTAATAGTTACCTCTGAAGTGTGGCTTTTGTTATATAATGTTAGATGATCACCCCTGAAGTGTGGATTCCTATTTATAACAACTGACTAACCCTTGAGTAGTAAGACCAGCACTCATGTTTATATTATACTAGCTTTGTGTTGAATACTTTACAGTATATAACAAACAACATAACATAAATGATGAGCCATATTAAAATACTCTCCTTTTCTCTTTAAAAATAATGATTTTAATAATTGGCAAGTAAAATACATTCCAATATTTACATTATATATTTTAATATTTTCTTCTTCTTGAATGGGAGAGAATATAAAAGACATAATTGCCTATTATTCATATAAACACAAGAAAACCCAACCCAGCCACTCCAAGATAATTTCATACCCTGTGACTTATACAACATTTTGAGCAGCAACTTTCATCCTTGTCTTTTCAGTTGAGGGAACACACATCAACGGGAGTCACTCTGCTTTCTAATTTCTAGGTGTGGCTCAATCCCCAAGTCCACAGGCTGAGGAAAGTCCATAGTCCTCCACAAGACTGTTGTAAACTCCCATAGGGCCTTATAGTTTTATGTCCCCTTAGGCTCTTGCAGGTACATGAAGCTGTATGCCTGGACTCACTGTAGTTCAACTTATGGGTCTCACCCACCCATGTATCCCAAACCTTTTCTCATCACCTGACCCTAAAATGGAAGTCAGCTCCTTTCACTGATTTTCAGAATATGCTCACATGCATTTTCTTATTTACTCACTCACTCATTCATTCACTCACTCACTCATTCCGTGTCTTTACTGAAGGTTTGGTAAAATTGAGATGATTTATTTCCAAATACAAAACTCTAAAATTTAAAAAGAAAACTACTTATTTTGGCTATTCTACCACACAGACTGATGTCCCACATCCAGTTGCTTACTGGTCCTCTGCTATAGTGGAATTACTGGTTTTATGACATATTAGTTACATTATTTTGTAGAGCAGGGTTCCATACTGTTCTTCAAAGTCTGTCTTCCCTCAACCCCAGTGCTTTCAAATTTTGCACCTTTGGGTGGTTTGATTTTTCCAATAACACAAGACTTTTCACAATTGGGAGGAACAACAAACAGCAAAGGTCTTCAGCATAATGGCCATTTTAAAACCATATTATGTGTGAGAAAGAAATACCAGGAGCATTCAAATCACAGGACAATTATCTAGAAATCTCTAATACACATTTTTTCTTTTTTTTTTTTAAGATTTTATTTATTTATTTGACAGAGAGAGACACAGCGAGAGAGGGAATACAAGCAGGGGGAGTGGGAGAGGGAGAAGCAGGCTTCCTGCTGAGCAGAGAGCCCGATGCGGGACTCGATCCCAGGACTCTGGGATCATGACCTGAGCCGAAGGCAGATGCTTGACTGAGCCACCCAGGCACCCCTCTAATATACGTTTTCTAACTTTCAATCTCTGAGTCATTTACATAAGAACTATTATCCAGGAAGGGTCATTTCTCCATTCTTCTCCTCTAATGTTGGAAGAGTACGTTATTTTTTCCACATCTAATTTTGTGATACATGACCTTTCTTCAGTTTTCTAGAGAAGAAGAGATTATTTTATTTCCTACATGATGGAGATCTTATTCTCCCAGAGACAACCTTTCTCATTCTATTCAACTCTCTGAAGATGAAAAACTAACCCTTTGAGATTATAAAAATAATCCACAGGTATGTTTATATTCCCCCTGGGGTCTGGATTATAAGGTGACAGAGAAAGAGGTTGGCATATTTATTACCAATAAATTTCTCATGTTTGTTCCCTTTATTATTATAAAAAAGATAAATCTGAGGTCCATTTGCCTATCCAAATGCAAATGAGGGAAATGTGGGTGGGCCCCTGTGTCTTCTGATGCCTGAGTACTGCAGAAACCAGAGAGCTCTAACCCAAGAAGCATGGGCAAGCATGTTTGCTTCCAGAGCAGTCCTGCCCAGATGCATGTGAGAAGTTTGGGAAGCATGAGTTGCCTAAAACTGTACTTTTGACTGTGTAGGAATATGTTTTGTGAAAGATAAGCAGCAATGAAATAGCAAATCTATAGCAGCACTACTTCTCAAACTCTAATGTATAAAGGAATTAGCTGGGATCTTATTAAAATATAGTTTCTGATTCATCAGGTCTAAGATGGGGCCAAGAGTCTGCATTTCTAACAAGCTCCCAGGTGATGTCAAATGCTGCTGGCCCAAGACATTAGAAACAAGTGGAAATCCTTGTATGGATTCCAGAAGACATTCTAAATACAAGATATCTTGAGTTTTAGTTCAATGTTACTAAAGACCTCAAAACTATATATATATTTTTAAATGTCTGGATGAAGTCAAACTGTTTTAAATTTTTTTGTGGAAGTAAATAGC